TTGACCATTCTGATTTAAAATGTGAACATGATCATGTAATAAGATTGGTAAACTGTGCTCAGAGGTGTCCTCATTCATGAACTTCCTCAGCAGCATGATACTTTGATACAACCTGGAATCCAGAAACTTTTAGTTTTACTTGTTTTATTCATTGTACTTGATGACAGCTAGTGGACATTTTGATATTATTGCCTTGCATCCAACACTTCCACGTATGTCAGATCCCAGCAGCTCCCCACTGTGGTGACCCCCTACCTAGCTGCTACATTACAAGCGTGTCCATATAGAGCTGCAGGTACATACCTTCTTTCTATCAAATATATCAGATAGTAACTGTTCCTTAGGTGAGGTGGATGCATTCTTTTTTAGGCTCTTTTCCCTTTATTTTCAGCTCATTAACCTGCAAATAGAACACTTCTTGTCCTAGGGTGACAATGCCTTTCACTCCACTGTATCTATGAAGGGAGCCATGGTTGTCACCCACCCAGACTGGACTTTAAGCATGCCTTCCTGTGTTCATCTCTTTAACATGGGGTTGGGTTGATTAGTAGTTTACAGAAGGTGGTCACATTGTTTGTGCTTTCAGTTCAGCTCACAGGAAGTGACAAGGATACTGCATTTCTGGCAAGATTAACAGATATTTCTGAACTTGCTGAAACTGTTCTTAGCCCAAAAAATGTAAACTAACGCATCCACCACGTCTAAGGACTGGTAACCTGCAATATATTACATTACTGTTTTTGGTTTTAGATATTTTTTTAGGTCTGAGTGAAGTCAGTGTTTCCAATGTATTATATCCTAAGAACCCCAAATCCATCATCTTTCATACTTTTCTCAGCACGAGTTACTTTTAAAATGAAAAACACAGCTGGACTTTGTAAATATATAGTTGACATCAGTGTGCTTGGCTAACTTTTATTTGTTCCAGTTCTCACATCTGATAAGATCTTAACGTGTTGAGGAGGGATATAATGTTTCCTTTATTCAGAAATTTTGCTGCTTTGAATAACTACACATTTTGGAGGCTGACAAGTTAAAACGAGAAAAGGAAGCTTTTAATAAGGTAGACCAAACAGGAAATGATTAATAGAGGATATCGCAGAACATGATAGGAAAGGAGATAATGTGAAAGCATGATTTATGACATAAAAGGCACTGCAGTTTAACAGGACACTGACATATTTCGCAAACAAGGCCAATTGCAAGGAAACATCTACTGAAGAATTTTTTTTTGAACATAAACTGTGTAGCCCAGCGGTTGTCAACAGTAAGGAAAAAGATGAATCAATAATCCAAGAAGAGCTGGAAAGAGTGTTAAATGATTAAGAATCATTTGTTCTACAGCACAGACAGAAGGATTGATACAAGGATTTTTACTGTTGAATAAATCTTTATTTAAAAGTAACTCTTTCATATATTAAAAAAGGAAAAAAACCGCTGTCAGGTTTAAAGTGCAGGAACCCCTAAAGCCCTGCCTGCATATTTGAATGCCATGCCCTTGTGAGGGCCCATTCACATCATAGCATTGTGTTATTCACACCACACCATGCAACTAATGTATGCTATTGCACAGCGCATCTAGTGTGCATTACCGTGCACTCGGTGAATTCTGTTGCCATTCTTCAGAATGGCACCCCAGCGCACATCCTGGCCACTGGCATGCACTACTGCTTTTCAATCAAATGCAATCCATGGTATTGCGGTACCGCTTGGCGGCTGGGAGGTGTTTTGGGGTGCCATTCAAATGGCTGTACAATGGTGCTACCATGTACGTTTAGCGTCTGAATAAAGGCATATAAAACACATTGGACCTTGTTGTGCGGGTGACTACTTCATACTTTTGGACTTATGTGGCGCCATCCACTGGTCATACCAGCACCCATCTTATTGCATGGGATTCCAGTCTGGTGTGCGGTGGTACATAGATTATTATGGTTACAAACCACTTCATACTTTATGAATCACTATAAAAAGAAAGTTACACGCCAATTCCCCCCATTAATTTTTTTTCTTACTTATGTCCATCCTTACTCATCTTAACCCGGGTTAATTACTACCATTTTCTGCCGCTGGCTGTTTGCAATGATACAGAAAGAATCAGTGATGTGACGACATCAGTATTTTCTGTCAATAGTGACAACCCTCCAGTTGGTGGGCCAAAGTTACCCAGCACACACAGGAAATGGACTGCAAAGCAGGTAACACCACAGGGGATAATTCTGGAAAGAAAGTGAGTATTGCAGCAAAAGCTTTATATTAATTTTTAAAACTGCTGGGTGGCCATTAAAGAGGGGAAAAAAAGGGTGTAAAAAAAAAAAAAAAAGATGTGGCGTTTGTTTTAAATAAGGACATTAGTGTCTCACCAATGTTCTCACTGTTGACACTCAGCAGAGCACAATTAATTAACTTTACAAACACAAAGTGTATTCATTAGCAGAGAAGAGGGCATAGCAATGGGATATTAAAAAAAGTTTTTGTCTACTTGACAAAGACTATTGGGCTGCTTTAGGGCCCTTTCACACCACCTCCAGACGAGATCAGATTGTTTCTGGACCCAAGCTGCATCCCAATGTTTCCCTATGCTCTTCTTGGCCTCAGATCACACCATCAAATTCAGTTCCAGACCAGAAAAATACTACGGTCACATTTTGTCTGGTCTAGAACGCACACAAATACATTAAAAACGTGTAAAAAATGCACCGAAACGCAACACAATGGGGGAAAAAAGCATTTTTTGGGGCTGGTTTGGATGATCTCATCACCCCTGGACTTCCTACTTCTGTGGAGAGAGAGATTTGTGAAGATAGGAACCATGACGGCTGAAGTGGACACTGAATTCTTTGTAGAACTTGTGGAAGTCTGCCCAAAGCTGTATGATCCAAGGCATGGGCAATATAAGAAAAACAATAGGAAGATGGACAAGTGGAGAGGCATTGCTGCCCAGGTTGTCCCTTTCTATGATCATTTGAGCAGCTCTGAAAAGAAAAACTATGGTAAGTTCATGTCTCTTATGTGCAAGCATTGTGCTGCTCTTTTCCTGGCTATCTGTAGGTCTTGCAGAGGTTCCCCAGCAAGACCTAAAATAGAACGCGCCAAAGCGCATCGCAGTGCGTCCCAGATCTGGTCCAGAAAATGGTGTGAACCTGCCCTAAGGGAGTTATAAATCTTCACAAAATTGTCCAGATTTACTTTACTAATTTAATCTGCACATGATTGGATAATTGAACAGGAATTTGCTTTTAACACAAGGCCATGCAGCCAGGGTTGCCAATAGGGGGTTACAGGTAGTTCTCCCCTACCGGGCCTCATTGGGTCAGCTGTGCCCTGAACACAAGCCACGGTAAGAGATGATATCCTTTACCCAGCCAGTGCTGCACTTTCTAGTCTTGTTGAATTTGTGTTGCATATCACAACTCAACCTCAACTGCTCCTCTGAATGCTCTCTCCGAATGTTGCACCCTTCTCATTATTTGCCTCAGGAACGTTTACTCTAGCTGGCATGTAGATACAAGGGACGTAAATACACACAGTGTAATGTGGTGCCAAAAGGGGGGTAAGTTGGAAAACGATGTGGAGTGTAGCACATGGGTATTGAGTAACCATCCAAAGTTAAGTGGTTGGAGGGCCATTCTGACTTTCCTTTGTCATGTATATTTGAACACTGAGAATGGTTGGCTTCCTGGTGGTTGCACAAGGGGTTACTCCAGTAAGCAGTTATCAAGGTTTGTGTGAGGTGTTTACTCACCTGTGTAGCCTCTGAAGTCTCGACCTGAAACCAACATACACATACTCGTACATATATGCTACAACTGTTATGCCTGATACCGACCTGAGGTGTGCCATGGTCCGGGTGGACAGTAATGCCAAATAAGGGGGCATACTCTGTGTGTAAAAATTGAATCTCTGTGTATGTGCACGAGAGGGAAGGGAGGGAGGGTTCAGACGAGAACCGGACGTCCCTGTAGCCTCGGCCTGCCCTCTTTTTTATACGTGGCGGGCGCGCCAACCCCTCCCACAAATCCCGGCTAACAAGTTAGCCATCCCACTTGTCAACGAGCAACCCATTGTGCACTGGACAATATGACAATATTAAAATTACAATAGCAGCAGACGACATGTCCATGTGGGCAGCTGTGCTGGAAGAGCTTAGAAAGTTGCTATGTGTTGTCCGTGCAAAGTCTGGAAATGGTTGAGGCCCTGTTCACACCAGATGCATTGGAGCTCCACTGGTCACCTCTTTCAGCACAGCCATAATGCACACACAATGCAATTTGCCATGTTTAAAAATCAGTTCAGTCCACATCAACACAATGCAGTGGTGTGCGCTAAAAAAAAAAAATTCCTGCATACTAAAAAGGTACTAGAGGTGCATTGCGCAACAAGGTATAACCACCTCGCACTGCACTAAAAACATTTCAATAAAAAAGCAAACTGCGCTATCCGTTGAGATCTGCAGATCAGCCCTGTTATCTGCCATTGTAAACTAGTAGCCTCTAATTTCCAAAACTGCTCTCATTTAATGAATGGCTGTTTGTTTTGCATGGCTGCAGATATGTGAAAAATATGCTTTCTTTTGTTTGCTTTTGAGGAGGTAATGTGTGTGTCTCTGCATTGGCAGACTTATTTGCATCCTTCTTTATTGGTAAACTCAAATAAACAGTTAGATAGTAAAGGAGGTAGTGTTCCAAATACTCCATATCTGTAGTATCATACATTGTAAGGATTACATTTCCTGCTGTGTATTAGTGATTAGTCCTGTATAAATATATAGCTACTTGCTTATCACGGGTATCCTAAAATTGCAAGTAATTTTTTTATTTTTTGCATGGCAAAATTAGAGCCCCTTTTGTTTTCAGATTTCAACAAACCTTATAACGAAACTATAAGTTGAGAAAGGTACTAGCCCTTTCTCAATCTATTAAAATATATTTATTTTGCTCTGAGTCCTTGCTTGAAGAAGAAATATCATTACAAATAAAAAATAATACAATGCAAAGCGATATTTTTTAAAGCACCTCAAAGAAGAGATGCAGTCTGGAACGTTTTATTTAAAATAACACATGCATCATTTGTTACAAGCAATATAAAACAGTACAGTCTAATCTCCAGTTCTGACAAAATTAATGGAATGTAGTCAAATCTCTCCTACGAACACATGAAAAATATATTAATACAAAAGTTAACCTTCATATATTCTGATTAAGAAAGCACAGAAATGTTGGCTACAAAAATACTGCATGACTGGTTGCCAAAGCCCAGGACGCCGACCACAAATTGTGTTTGGCTTATTGGCAAAGCCCAGGCGCTCTAGTCACAAACACTGCTTGACTTGTGGCCATAATAGTGCATGGTCACATATACACACTTCATTCAATGCATAAGAGCACCACTGCAAGAAAAGATGGCACAAGTGGGGTATGAAATATTGCAAGAAGCTAAAATACACACACACAAAAAAAAAAGGACAGTCTAAATACTTCACACACAAAAAATATTTCAGTAGTTACAAAAAAAAAACAAGCAAAAAACACACATATACCATTAACTTTTGTTATCAAAAGTCCATATAAAAAAAATCATTAAAAAAAAAAAAAAAAAAGTTAAAAAATACACAATGTCATCCCATTTATTTGATAATTCACATACAAACTAGACCACTGTACAAATATCTAAACAATTAATGCACAGGATATGGCAGCCTCACTCTGCAATTGTCCTTATGGTTTGTTTATTTGCCCTGTGAACAGCACAGCACCTGAAAATAAAAAAATTTTAAAAAATCATATACTGCAATAATATCAAGTTATAATAATTTTACATAATTTGCAGCATTGCATTATGTCCCATTTCCCACCTACTCTCTATACTAGGGCGAGAGCTAGAAAAATTAGGAATAAACATTTTTCCAAAACGAGTATATTCTCACTCGTTGCCATGGTTACTAAACCCAGATAAAGATCATCATGTGTGAGGGAGTAGGCAACAGGCCAGTATGTCAACAGTAAGAGTGCTTAGAGTCCTGCTTACCAATTATGGTGCTATTTAAAAGGCGAACTAGTGGGGGCGGCTCTCTAATTAGGCAGTCGCCTAAGGCCTCGCGCTCGCGGAGGCCTTGCAGCTGCCTAACTCACCTAGTCCACAGTAGGGCTGGCGCTGTGGGAGGGACGAAAAAACGCACCTTTGTCTGCGGGTTCAGAGCGCTCACTTGCCAGGACCTCTTTCCGCACATCCCCGCTGGGACTTTGCTCCATCCAAAGCTCAGACTGTGTGTCAGTGCAGCAGCCGCAGCGAGAGCAGAGGGGGGAGAGAATCAGTACATGAAGGGGCGTGCGGCATGAGGTAGGAAACCGGGGCGGCTGCGGTGGACTCACCATTGATCATGGGCACAGGCAGCTATAAAGGGACACTCGCAGTGGCGGATCCAGAAGGGGGGGGGAGGGCAACGAGAAAATTGCCGCTCCTGTGACTTGTCATTACACTGGCCGCGCCGACAAATCACGGCCAAGGGCTTCTGCACTGAAGTTAGGAAGATTAGGTAGCCGCCTCAGCCAATGCTGGGACGTCGTGGCTGCCTAATTTGTGTTAGTAGAGAGCTGCTCAAGCTGGCAACGGCGACAGCGGCGGGAGGAACGACCAAAAAGAGAAACCAGATGAGTTCTGTATCCCGGGGGAGAACTGAGGGATCAGTGAAAACAGATGGTGGTGGGACAGAGGTGGGCGCAGTGGCAGAGGGTCCTTGGACACAGGCGGTTGTGGGAGAGGTGGACACAGTGGCAGTGGAAGAGCCGGAGGGGGGTCAGTGGGCACAGAGGCAGTTGTGGGGGGGGGGGGGGGTCAGTGGACACAGAGGCAGTGCCTCTCCTGAGACTAGACTCTGGATCCACAGGATAACATAGACACCGGCACTCCAAGTAATGAATCAATGGCGCCTGTTTATTGATGCATGAAACATAGCACATTGCATCAAAAAGCAACGTTTTGGGGTCTCACAAGATCCCCTTTATCAGGCAAAATGAGTGACTCTGGATTCACCCCCTGGACACTCGGGATCTGAGTCCCTGAACCGGGATGGACTGACCGCTGACAGAGAGCTCACAGCCAGTTGAGGGCCAGTTGCCTCCCTTCCTTCCCATATTTCACATCCCGCTCTCCTCGCACTCTCCCCTGGCCGTCTCTCCTTGCACTCTCCCCTGTAATTTCTCCAAAGAAAGTTGCGTTGCGGCACTAGAGTGCTCGGGTTTCCCTTGAAGAAAAGGTGACAACCCTAATCAGCTCATCTCCTTGTCCGCCTCGTTCTACCATCACAGTTCATTTTTAATTATAGTTTGCATTTTTTAAACTATGGGTTTAAGTAGGGGCCTCACGTTTCAGTTTCGCCTAAGGCCTCACAAGTCTAGGGGCGTAGATAAGGGGGGGGATAGGGGGTCCAAACCCCCCCCCAGAGGGTCCTGGCCGATTCTCCCTGATTGTGTTCGGGCCGGCTCAGCTCAGCCCGCTATGTCCGATGCCCAGCTCGGACAGCTCGAGTGATGAAAGAGCACAGAGCAGCCAGGCTGAACACAGAGCAGGGCTGCCCCGCCCCCATCACCAGCTGACATCAGCCTGAGCCAGGGGGAGACTGTGTGCAGGACACCGCGCTGTGAACGAAGATCACAGGACACGGAGTGTGAGCTGACAGGGGGGAGGAGGTTAACCATTGCTGTGCCAGTAAGTTGCTTTAAGATCCTTATGTATATCTATAATTAATGCAGTGAAGTCCAAATACAGGGTGCTCAATGCTGACTGCTTTATTAAAGGTTGAAAAATGCACAATGCAAATATACAGTATATCAAAATGAAAAGCATTTAGGTGATTTGCATTCAAAGTCTTGACCAGTCTGGGATCTGCAGGTGACGCCTGTAAAATTGGGGGACATGGGACCAGCTCCCTTGTGGTAGCAGGTATCTTTTAGCCTCACACATCTTAAAGTGACATTAAAGTTAAACTTTTTTTTCCCCCTTCCCAATCCTACTGTAGGGACTTACCTTAAAGGATGTCTCTTAGGCCTCATTCACATGAGAAACAGCCGGCACGCACAGCTCCGTGCTGCGTGCACGGCCGTATCTGGCAGCTCCCGAGTACGTGGCCGTATGCCGCCCTACGCTCACCCACCCTGCACGTCTGTGCGGGTACTCGTACGCTGACAGGATGGATCCTGTCTGCTTCCAAGACGGGACACCTGTACCCATACAGACCTGCACTTGGGGTGAGCGTAGGGCGGCGTATGGTCATGTACTCCCATAGAGAAGGACAGGGGTTGCGTACTAATTACACACAGCACCGGTCCTTCCTGGGAGCTGAGCGATACAGCCGTGCACGTTTATCCAAATAGAGCTTTCTTTTGGTGCTATTTGATCGCTGCTGGTTTTTATTAAAACATTTTATATAAATGAAAAAAAGAAAATAAATATTTTCAACTTTTTGTTATACAAAATATCAAATAAAAATCAAATTTCTTCATAAAATTAGGCCAACATTTATTCTGCTAAATGTTTTTGGTAAAAAAAAAAAAATCCCAATAAGTGTATACTAAGTGGTTTGTGTGAATTGGTACCAATTATAAGTCTTTTGAAAACATGGTTTTTATCCATATGGTGTCGAACAACAAAATCGGTATTGCTCGGGGTAAAGGATTGGTTTAGGAATGATATGGCCGGTATATTTTTTTCAAACCTTGGTGTGTCTGCTAGATAAAATCTTATAATTTGAGGAAGCTGAACCCCCCCAGGAAAAAAAATTATCTACGGCCCTGCGCATCTGATGGGGGGAGTAACATGCACTCATCCCCATAATTAGAGCCAATGTGTGACACTTCAAATGTCACACGCCAGCTCTACTGATCGAGAACAGAATGATCACAAACCTGTCAGTCACCACTCCACGCAGGGACTCCCCTCTCCGTTCCTCCAGCACTGACTGGAGGAACAGATGGAGAGGGGACGGGCACAGCTGGCTCTGCCTCTAGCCAGCTGACAATCAGGCAGCGGGTAGATCTGGACAATATTGTCGGGGACCTTTCCTGGCTGCAGACCACTATATGCTGAGTTTTGGGTCACAGGAGGACATTAATAAATGTCCTCCTGTGACTCAAAAGAGAACTAACATCAAAAAAGGTTTGACCATAATTCTTTTTTAATATAAAACCCAAGGACATCTCTGTAGTAGGATCTGAAGGGGAAGCAGATGCACAACAGAAGAGACAAATATCACTGCAGTGCTAAGTGATAACTGGAGACATTTTGAGGCATTAAAGTGGACCTTTAACCCCCATTGACTAAAAATCACATCAGCATACAGCTCTGCAAGTTGATATGAAATCATCTTACGTTCATTAGCTAAACAATAAATGGCAATTAAAATGAAAATTGTTTTTTTTTCCACTTCCTGGTCCACTAGCATAAATTATGTAATGTGCCCAAGCAGTGGTGTATTCTGGTTTGGGGCTGCCCTAGGCAAGACAAACTCAGAACACCGGGCCCCACCCACACACACAATTTGTCCTACCATTTCCTGGTTTTGACTTTTTGCATAACCTGTCAGTCGCTGGATACAGTACGCACATTGTATTCAGCTTTTGGACATGTTCCGCTATTAGCATAGCAGGAAAGCTGGGGTCTCAGGTGGGCTCTGCGGGGTCTCAGGGGGGCTTTTCAGGATCTGTGGTGGGCTCTGCAGGGTCTAGGTGGGCTATGAAGGATCTCTGGTGGGCACTGCAGGTCTCGGGGGGGCTGTGCAGGCTTCAGAGCCCACCACGGATCCTGCGCAGCCCCCCTAAAACCCTGTGGAGCCCACCATAGCCCCCACAGAGCCCACCATAGACCCTGCAGAGCCCCCCTGAGACAGAGGAGCCCACCATAGACCTTGCAGTGCCCACCATAGACCCTACAGAGCCCACCACAGACCCCACTACAAATCCTGCACAGCCCCACTGAAACCCTGCGGAGCCCACCATAGACCCCACCACAGATCCTGCAGAGCCCACCTGATACTTTCAGGTGGGCTGTGCAGAATCTATGCTGGGCTCTGCAGGGTCCCTTTAACAGTAGTGTGATCCACTTACCCAGAGGCGGCTCTAGACTTTGCGAGGCCTTAGGCGAAACTTAAACAGGCAGGTTTAAACTTTCACAGCAGGCAGGTTCAATAGCCAGCATGTTATTGGCTACTGCAATTTAAATGAGCCAATAACAGGCTGGCTATTGCTGCCAGCTGCTGGAATAGGGACGATCGCGTGGCTGTCAGCAGGAGCGGAGGGGTTGGTAGACTGCACGAAGATAGAAGCATACAGATAATCAGCAATTTCTCTTAAGTCTGTAATCGGCAATCTGTCCCCTCTGACACAAATCGCTGCAGCCAATTACAGACTGTAGGTAGAAACCGCTGACAGTCTGAGTCTGCAGTGGGGAGTTATCTACAGCGCCCTTTGGGGGTGACAGGAGTCCCTAATGCTGCTGTGTGCAAACAGCATTAGGAGCCCTGTCACATTCAAGCGTGCATCGCACTTGCCGAACATCTCGTGATGAGATGAGATGTTCAGCGGCTGCGATGCACGCTTGGATGTCACAGGGCTCCTAATGCTGACTGCGCACTGCAGCCTTAAGGTCCCGCTACTTCAAAACTCACTGTCCCGCTACATTAGGAGGCCGAGACTGGCGAATTCTGTGCAGCCCGGCTTACCTTACTGTTTTGGGGAGGCATCTTTGCCGCCCCCGTGGAAAGTACCGCCCAAGGCAAACGCGTTGTTTGCTTCACGGCAGTTACGTCCCTGTGCCCAAGCATTGCAACCTTGGAAGGTCACATCAACAGAGCATTGCTGGAAAATCTCATCTGTAATCTGATGAGATCTCAGAGAAAGGCATTTTTCTCCCCCGAGATGAGTTCCAGGAAGTAAAGAGAGATCTAGCAACCTGCCCTTAGTTGAAATGGCCACTGACAGAAAACCGGGGAAGAAGAGAAAAATAAGGTATGCAAAAAATACAAAGCCTGCAATTATCTAGAAGTATGTTTGTAGATTGTCATTACTCAACATTTCTAAAGGTGCCTTTGTTGTTATTTTGAAAATATGGGTAAAGTTCCTCTTTAATAGAGATCTTACAGAAAAAATGGCTTTCTAAAAAGGCACAGGCTCAGTAAAATCCAGCCCTTGGTAAGCTCCCTGTTAGGATTCATGATGAACAGTTTTGTAGACAGCATACAAATACCTTACCTGTTGGGTTATGCCTGATGAAAAACAAAAATGGTCTGTCCACTATAAACCAGGGGGGAGATGATCTTGCTATCAAAATTGCAGCTGAAAGAGAAAACATTAAGTATCCCAATTAATACCATCAACAGTTTTTATTTCAGACAAGCCAGGAACATAACATTCATTTAAACTCTCTCGACATGCCAGTAAGTGGAAATAGAAACTGAAAATTCAGCATAAAAAAAAACTAAGAATGTATAACAAAAGTAAAGCAACATCACATATACCCGTGACATGAATATATGTGAAAATACGCTACATAGCAGCTTCATATGGCTGCGAATATGTGATGCATACACTTTCTATTTGGACAGCTGTTCTGTTAGTGCATGGTTTTAAAAAATTGGGACATGACCTTACATTACTGGACATAAAGTACAACTCTGCTAGGTTTTTTTTAGTAGACTTGGAAGTGGTAGAACTTCTGTCACACTTTCATTGCTCTCCATCACTCTTACCCTTTATAGTCAGTCCCACTACAAAGATACCCCATAAATATTCTTTTGACCACCTGCCACCTATCCATGGCAAAAAAAAAATGTGATCTAACAAATCTTAGATTGCTGTTAGCCACAACAACCAGTCATCAGTTATTGTTCAGACTCTTTTAAAATAATGAAAACTAAACTCTGGGTGCTAGGGATTACTGCACAACACTGGCCTTAGCATTCTAATTAAAAAAGACCCAATGTCTACATGCTCAATGATGAAATTTAGAATGGTTGATAAAAGGTACAGCCGATCTAAACATCCATTGCAATCAGATTTCTTTTAAATGTAATCACATTATAAGGTTATAAAGTTTTTCCTTTCTTTATAATTAAAGTATTACAGGTCAACTAAACAAAGATGTCCCCAACAACTACGCTTGTTGCCTATTGTGTTTGTATATGGTAGCTGGTAACTGCAAATCCCCTTTATAGTTGAAGAAATACCCTCCATTAAAAGATAAAGACTGATTCGGTGACATAATCTGTATTACCGGTGGCTGCAGAGGCCTTTGTGCCATCTTCTTTCACTTCAATTTTAGCTTTCTGCAACATATGCGACACATAAACTTGTTCCGCTCCTAAAAAGGAATTTATACAACTATTATAACATATACAAGATCATTTTGGAAGACTAAATGATTGAGTACAATTTGTTTATATTTGCTTTCTAGTTTCCATGATTCAGCACACAATATGAAATATAATAAAGAAAAGTTAAAAGGGAACATGTGAAGATGGTGAAATTATGGAGCTGTGATTGGAAACATGTTTTAAACGTTGCTTTTAAAACATGCAATGCATGTCTCCTTGCCATCATCCTGATCCTAGCTTTACCACCAAATTAGACTAAGTATTGCAGAATGGGAGTTCAGACATTTCAGATTTTACTGATTGCAAGGTTGCTCCAAATCACTGATTGACTAGGGAGTCTAGCCAGGACTATGATGAGTGCCTTGGAGACACTAGTTTTAGAAAGAAGTCAGCAATCACTGCTCCCATTTCTCTCCTCATAGCGGCACTTCTCCAAAGTTAATTCATGAGCTGAAATTATGTTGTGTTTAAATGGCAGTACCAATCCTGAGCACTAGATGACACTAGTATTGGTGATTTCTAATATTGCATATTCTTAACACTAGATGGCACAAAATTACATGATATTGAAAAGTACCACTTTTCAGCATTACATTCTGATTTAGTATAGCAGAAGAAAAGTTCAAAGTGCCAGTATCCAGTATTTTTCTATAAAATGACTCAAAGGAGACCTAAAATGAAAAATAAAGATACGTTTTGAGGGCAGACTTAAGCATAATGTTCAGCCAGAGTCATCCAAGTAAATCCCCTGCCTGAGCAATCATTTTCCAGTGACATGACCACATGCAGGATTTCCATTACTACATCAAAAGAAATATGTGATTTTGTTCTATAATCCAGATTGCATCATTTCTGTTACAATCCTGTTATTTTGATTGTCTCATTACCATATGTATACCCCAATTCTGAGAGCCAATAAGGGCTTCCTCCATTTAGCCAATATCTTACCCCAGACACCTCACATCTGTTCCGATTTAAGATCTTTGGAATCCAGCAGCTGCCATTTTTTTGCCCTTAAAAGTTCAATTGAAAACAAGCAAGCTTACAAACTAAACTTTTTGGATAATTCCGTTGTCTTGCTGTGCTGTATTATTCACGGCTCCACAAGTACAAATGTCACCCTATTTCTTAAAAAAATGTCTGCAGATACAATGCTTGCATAAAAAGCCTTATCAAATATGGCTAGCGGGGAAATGCAAGCAGCATGCTCATCTGTATTCATATACTGTACCTAGCACTAAAACACTGCAACGTTTCCCCTTCCAGCTCCCTCCGCACATTTCACTGTGTACCTACTTGTCACTGCATAAAATGCATGTTCTGTGATGAAATATCAGTATGACTTTCAAGATAAACTTATTCCATTTTTAGATCCCTAAAATTCATGCTGTGATACCCCTTTACAATGAATCTCAGTCATAGCGAGCAGCTGCTACTATGACATTATATTCATGGAAAACTTTCTTGCTGCATCTGTACTATCTGCATAAAAAAAGTGAAATTCCAATGTCATAAAACTGATTAAAGATATTTGCAAAAATAAAATTTAAAAAATGTAATCTGTGATATATGGGAACATTTGACAAACACCATTTATGTATGTGAAGGTGCTCAATCATCCAGGTCATGGCATATCTGTAAAAAAGACCAAGCCACTGGACTTGTATTTTTCTTGAAGGCGTTTTGCCGGTCATCTGGCTAGATTCCTCAATTCTGAATTGAGAAAGTTAGTTAGATGACCAGCAAAAGGTCTAAAATCAAAGCAACGTCACTTTCTGTATTTTTTATTGATTTGTGACAGATAAAAGCCATTTAGACTTACTGGTAATCTTTGTGAAGTTGGCTTTATAGGAGTCAAACATATCAGTGATGCCAAGGTTTTTCAGAGGTTCCTTTAGATTAGCGTCCGCCTCCACTGTGAACCTATTGTGAACACACATTACAAGAAAAATAAATAAAATAGTTTTGATACATGATATGAACATTTTTGATACTAGCAGGTAAAAATAGAAATATTTAAAACTAGCCATAAAAATTAGATGGTGTCAAGTCTGTGTATGCACAATCCAACCACCTATAAAAAAAACAAAAACGGACTACACATGCAAGATTGTATCTCCTGAGCCTGGAAGTTCATGCAATAGGACACCTTAAGGGATGCACCAATACTTGGCATTTTCATGAGAACTACCAGGGTTGCAGCGGTTTCAGCTGGGACCTAGCTCTGGCGCTCTACCACTGTCCTGAAATCATTACTTTGGCAAGTATCAGTACTTGTAAAAATGGTATTGGTGCATTCCTTCATTTATAAAAACAAAATCATACATTAAAACAGAGATGTACAAATCCCAGGAGCTGCGTGTGCTCCTTAAAAATGACAGCTGCCTCCTAACTTTTGAATTTTTCTCTAGTCTAGTCTTGGAGCTCGAAAAGTATCTGTACTTGTTCTTGTACCGAGTACGGTACTTGGTATCGGTGCATCCCTAGGACACCTATAGCCCCCATCTTCCGTTTGTATAGGGCTTAATTATCTATGGATATTTAAAGTTCACCTGTGCCCAGACCATCGACATTACATAGCTTTTACATATTTTTAACAAGCATTAAAAGCACTTTAAAAGCAAGCCACCCCTGACATATCTAGCTGCTTGTACTGTGAAGTAATTAATCCTCAAAGATCCTTAGAAAATCATAAGACTTAAGTCAGCTTTCAGTCTGTTTCCACCAATTTAGAAACACCTGCTGGTTGTTTATATTGGAAGACTCTCAGACTGCCAAGATTCTGTTGCAATGGAAAGCCATTTGTACTCCTTGCTCTGGGCATAGGATAACACTAAAAAGGATTTTATACTTTACATCAGTGGTCCCTAAATGGTGGACCATGGTACACAGCCCAGCCACAGACCACTGTCAACCATAACCCAGCGCAGGCCCCCCTCCGCTTCAGTCACTGGTTGCTAGGACTGCTGGCTTCCTAACAACCAATGACATCAGGCAGGCAGGGCCAGCTCCTAACTACAAGTGATTTGAGAGCCTTTACAACCATCCAGATTACCCCTGTATCAACCCCCGCCATGGTTTTTGGGTGCCCCGCTCCTCTGGGGGGGGGGGGGCCTGCAATCATGGTACACAGTGTCAAGATGGAGAGCAGGGGCAGACCGGAGAAGGCACGTTTCCCAATCTGCTCTGTAATCACTGAAGCATGAAGTGTTGCTCTCAGCAGCCAGCTGAAGTTCCGGGTAAATAGAAGGTGAAGCACATTCCTATGCTTCATCTGTGTTGAAGGTACAGCGGCGATTATCAGGAGTCTAATAGACCCCTGATGTCTCCATAAAGAGAACCTGTCACCTCCAAATGCTGTCACATAAGGGCTTGTTATCCCCTTTGCGATAGTAAACGTTCAGTGAAAAAAAATTTAAACAAGTGATAAAAAAGTTAAAAAAATTAATAAATCATAAAATACCAGTTCTAAATCCTCTAGTTTATGAACAGTTATTCACTTCAGTAAAAATGGCGGGTGTGCAAATGCATTACAATATCTATAGCAAAAACAATGGAGAAGTCAAACAGATGTGCACACACTTACAGAAGTTCCAAAGGTCCCACCCGACATAATGAACATGGTCAAATGAGGACATATGACCAGGATGAAATTATTATAATACAATTAAACTGCTTCAGCCACACACATTTCATTTACTCCAACTTCCTGCACATAGAGCAATGATGTGCTGTATTATAGCACACATGTAGCAGCAGCAGTATATAAAGAAAGAGGCACTGAAAACAACAGTCTACTGCACTTTCCTTTATGTTCTCTCTATTTCTATGCTGTGTTTTGTTAAAATAAGACTTTTATATAAAATATACTCATAGTCAGTGTATCATCACGCTAATTGCTTGTACACAAAGTCAAGTGGTGACCCATCTCAAACATGTTTGTGACCCAATTTGGGTCCTGACCCTGGTTTATGAGACAATCCTGCCCAGTAGAAAGTAGCTCTGCATATAAAAAGGCACATGGCAAGCTTCTTCCAATAGTACATTCTACTTCATAAGCTTTACTAAAATAAGCACATAAAAAAATAGGAGATTGTACAAAGGGCGTCATCACTGATATGCGCCAAACGCAGTATGTTGTCTAGAAACAGACCACGTCATGATCACAGGAAAAACTGCTAGAAGTGAAGGTTGTGTGGTGAAATAAGATGGAAGAAAAGCAGTTCGATAGTAAGCAAAAAAAACAACAGCAAGTAACAGGAGAAAAACACAGCAGCAGTTAAAAACAAGGACAACAGGGACAGCTGAGTAAATAAAGTCTGGTTCCGCATCACAGCAAAAACAGATACCAATGCAGGAAGGTGGGAACCAAAAACATAGTGGAGCAGAGTAGTTGTTGTTAAGAACTGCAAAAGAGACTGTTGATCTGTTTAATAGGAGACAGATGAGTGTTGACTAGTTTAAGTTTTGGTATATAAACATAGTTAAACTATTTCCCTTATTGTTTTTATAGGTTTGGTCCTACTTTAAGTGTAAGCAGACATAAGGATAGTGTAGGGATGTGTTCCCTAAAGCATGCTTAAAGTGACACTAAACTCAGGAGTTAAATCTTAAAAATGCCTCCAAGTACCCTAACTATTGACACAAAAGTACCTTGTGTATCACTCGGCTGTAGATCCTCAAATCATCTTTGAATTGGTAGCCACCACTCCGAGCTTGCTCTCGTTATTGACTACAATCTCACGTTTAGTTTACTAGTTTGTATTGCAATCGTAGTCCATTACAGGAGTTTGGAGTGGTGGCTACTTTACAACACACAAAGTAGCCCCCCTCCACAAGGAAGGACAGTGTCAGCACCCATTCAGAGATGATTTGAGGATCTACAGCTGAGTAATACACAAATAAGGTCCAGTATTGTTGGGTACTTGAATGCACTTTTAAGATTTAACTCCTGAGTTTAGCGTCACTTTAAACGTGCGCTGAATTTTCGGGTTTTGCTGTTGTGTTCTGTATTCACTGGTAGGGTGTGCTCAGTGGCGGTCTATGTTGTGTCATCTGGCAGACTCTGCGGGTATTCAGTGTCTGTGTCAGGTATGGTTAGCCTTGCCTTTTGTTAGTTAGCCAGCCACTGCTGAGTTTGTTAGTAGTGGGTTTGGTTTGGCTGTAGCAAAACTACTGAGCATATTTGCTGCTGGGGCTGTTTCGCCTGTAGTGTTTAGTCCTGCTACTAGGAGCTGGGCTTCTGCCCAGGCCTGAGGGTCAGGCCCTTAAGGCCTACCATGTGCTAATGGATTGTACACCCTTGCTGATCTGGCTATCATGGAGTCACTGGGGACACTGGAGCACCATATGAACCTCCACTAGTCTATCTGCCTAACCCAAGATGATCCAGTAGTTTAAGGAGATGGCGCCAGGGACAATGGAGTAACACCTGAACCTCTAATGGTCCAGTACTGGAACAATATACAAGACCCAGTTGGGTGGAGACACTACGATAAGAGACTTTATTAGGGTACCATACTCCCACTTTGCAGAGGCTCAGCCTTCAGTTACCACACAGGTGCATGCTATTTCAGTAGCCTGAAGAGGAAAACAACTAAAGTGTTTAACAACAGGGCTACAATAGCTTGAAGCCTAGTGGGCTAGTATAAATATGCAGGGAAGGATGCAGGTGAGCTTAGGAATTGGTGAAGTTTGGATTTACAGCCCCAGTCTATATGACTAAATGGAATTGCTGTAGTCTGTTCAGTAACATTAGGGTATATATTTTCTTACAGCTTTCTTCCAGAATGCACAGGAACCAGCCTTATTGAAATCTCAACAAGATCTCAGATGTTCAAACTCTGGCCAGCCCCACTCCATAGAGTTGACAAATGGTTTGTATTTGATTGGCCCGGCCAGTAAAAATTGACTTATTGTCAAAGTTATTAAGAAAGAAAGCAAGTCCTTTTATAGGTGCTTCTGGCCTGCATTGGACCTCATCTTGATCTGCATTTGACCTCTTTATAAGCTGCATCAAGCTGTGTTTGCATCACCATTGACTTAAATGGGGAGAACAGCAGTTCTGCAAATGAGCAAAGCCATGTACATGGGTCCCTATGAAATATAATTAAGTGGCTGTCAAGCACTTACTTTGGTAAAATTAGTTGGACTCTCTTCGGTGTCATAGTCATCCAACTTTGTAGGGTCTTCGTACTGATGTGTGGGATGATTGCAGAGAGAGGGGTGTTTTCATCAGTGGGCAGTGCCACCAACATACTGACACTTCCACCATGATAAGGCAGCTCTATCACGTTGTACCACAGACCACTAGGAGTACTGGCTGACCCTGTATTTTTTCAAAGAAAAAAAGAAAAGAAAGTTAGGACTTCAGATTGAGAGGTGCGGATATGCATTCCCGACGCCTTACACATTCACCAGCAAACAGATCAAGGATTCACAAGAGGATAATGGTAATTAGTCAAATTAGCTCTTTAAACTGATATAGATCATCTGTTGTTGTTATTATACAGGATATGGCGCCAACATTGTGCAGCACTCTACAAAATAAGTTACAATACAATTCAACACAAGAGGGTTAGGAGGGCCCAGCACCTAAGAGTATGTAATTCATCTACAAGGGAGGGTCAAGTGATAAAAAAAAGGTAGTAACTGTGAGGGAATGACTTGGAGTAGTTTTTAGGTAGAGGTAGGATAAGCTTCCCTGGAGAGTTTTCAGGGATCACTTAAAAGTGTATTTTCACTTTTAAATCTAACTTGGGGTACAATCTGTTTTATATTAGTTATATGTTCCCATTCACATTACATAATTTAAAAGAAATTAAAAAAATGCTTCTTGCAGTTTAAATTGCTTTTACTTTGGTTAGTGTTTATATATGGCTTCCTAAGGGTTAACATTTCTACTTGCTTCTGTAATGTTAGGATGGGTGAGGGGTTTGTTGACCCTAACTGTATTGTGCTGGCTAATTTCATTAAGATTTGTGAAGTAGACAAAGGGTTAAATGATTACAACCCTGCCTTCTGCAATTAAAATGTTAATGAGGGAAACATAATCCTCAAATTTCAGTCCTAAATCTTTCTATAAGGACAGATCAGTGTGAAGGTGCTCAGAATAAAACCTGAAATCAGCCATGTTGCATGCTGCAACAAAACATCTAAAAAAGTTAATAAATGTTCTTTTTAATTATTTTTCATTATACTGTATAAATTAGGGACACAAACATTTAGAAGGCATTTCTCAAATTAGCCTGCAAAACTGGAAATACACTTTAAAAAGGTGGACAGAGTAGGAGATAGCCAGAGAGAATGGGGTAGGGAGTTTCAGGGGATGGGAGAGGCTCTGGAGAAGTCCTGTAGGCGAGCAGGGGAGGAAGTAACGAGGGAGCGTAGATTTTGAAAGACTGAGTTTTAGAGAGTGGTGTGACATCCACACTCATATGTCTGTTAGTATATTAGCAATCTGCAAGAAGACTGAAGGGGTGAGCTGAGGAGCAGAGAGAGGAGTAGAGAGATGGAGTTGAATGTCTTCAGCATAGAAATGGTATTGGAGGGGTGGGCCTGCCGGACTTCCAATTATATCACAAACCTGTTCACTTGAATAGGGTCTTGGACTGGCACGCTCACGGAGACGGCAAGCTCTGGGTAGCCGTGGACAGAGCTTCCTGTCAGTACCCACTGGAAGGGCTCCCCTGGATCTCGTCCCCCATCCCGCTGTCGGTGCGGGACCACCCTTTGATTACTACCACAATCCGACTTGCCAAGGCGACGCTCAAGCACCCCACACTGGCTTCGGCCCCCTCGCCACTAACACCGATGATAGGAGACCCCGACTTAGCGCCGGGAGCGGACACTGCGCGGTTCTCCAGACTTGTGACAGTGGACAAGTACAGATTACTTGACTTCGAACAAATTCCGACTGGTTATCGGGCCCAGCCATACGGTCCCTTACCGACCCCCCTCTAGACTCCTGGAGTGTTATGCAACTCCGACACTTTCTGCGAGCTATCCCTAATCCCCAAGCCCTAGATAGACCCCATACGGACTACGAGACGATGTGTAAGGGGACTGAACCCACACGACATGAAATATCCCTTATTTACAAACTGATCAGCGCGCCCGCCTCCACCGTCCGTCCATCGTTCTTGCAGCAATGGAAAAGGGAACTAGGATTAATTTTTACCGAACAACAGACTCGTTCCATACTCACCATGTCCCACAAACCTTCCATGGCCAGCAAAGTGCAGGAAATGGGCTACAAAATTCTATCCCGATGGTATAGAGTACCTTGGCTTTTGCACAAAATTAATCCTGCCATCCCTGCCCAGTGTTGGAGATGTGGTTCAGACTCTGGCACGATGTTGCATACCTTCTGGTCCTGTCCGGACTTGAAACCCTTCTGGGACCAGGTGCTATCTGTCATACAGGACCTGACCCTGACGGACCTCAGAGATAAACCGGCGGCATGTCTGCTACACGTCAGCCGCCCCACTCTCAAAATACCGACACTCACTCACACACCACCTATTAGACGCTGCTAGAGCCACTATTCCCCTGTTGTGGAAACACCGAAGGGAGGTTCTTGACCACCTGGGGATCATGGATCTACTTCCAACACTCCACCAAGTATGCAGACCTTGTATCAGGCTGACACTGAGGCCGCACTCCTGGGGGACGTGTTGGCCTTCCTGATTCACACTGAGGGGACCTCCTCTGGCAGGACTCTAGCTTCTCAGCTGCCGGAGGTGATGAGACCTTCCTTGGGCGGGGACGCTGGCAGCGATTCAGGACCCTACCCATCCTTTAAACCTTTCCTTCATCTTGTGTCTACTACTCCCTTCAGCTCACTCTGCTCTTTCCTTGCTCGTATCTACCTTTAATCCCAGCACTCTCGCCTTGGATGAGGCTGAGTTACTACTTCCCATAGCATGATTTCTACACTATAGCATTGATGACATATTCTGCGTTCCGCGAGTTAATACAGTAACGATCACAACGCAAATTTGTCCCGCCTGCAGAATTTCTCTTTAATGAAAGCACATCAGATGCTCCTACTAGATCTACGTAAAATGTTATGTTTGATGATAACCGAACAGTTTTGTATCCACGAAATGCCTCTACTAGAACTGTATGTAAAGAACAGTAATCACATGTGACTTGGTAGTTGCATCTGTAACATTTGCTCGAACGTTCATGACTGTAACCTTGTTTTGATGACATGTCAGTTAATAAAACGGAAAAAAAAAAAGATGGTATTGGAAGCTATGGGAGGCAAGCAACTGACCTCATCAACTGATGAGGTGTACATAGAGGGTAGAAGGATCCAAGTACAAAGATTTTGAGGACCCTTAAGACAAGACAAAGAAGAGAGGAGGAGATGGATTTGTAGGTAACACTGAAGGAGCGCTTAGATAGATAGGTAGGAGGAGAATCAGGAAAGAGCAGAATTTTAAAGTCTAAATGAGTGAACTTTTGGAGGAGGAGCAGATGGTAAACTTTTAAAGGCTGCAGAAATGTCTAATAGTGTGTTGTACAGAGCAGCGGCCATTGGTTTTAGCAGTTAGTAAGTTGCTGGTGAATTTTAGAAGAGTAGTTTCTGTGGAGTGTTGCGGGGTAAAGCCAGACTGTTTTCAGTGGGTTAGCAGTTCAGATGGATGTACACTAGGAATTGTAATGGTTTGGAGGTAAACGGAGCAAGGAAATGGGTCTCAAGTTCAAACTCGTGGGGGGCAGAGAGAGATACCAAGGGCCAGCAAGGAATTTAAGTATGGGGTGACCAGTGCATGTTTTAGAAGGGGGGTGGGGAGATATACAGCTATGTCTTTTGAGGCTTCTGGTATCATCTGTTTGTCAGGGATGTAGCAGTCGAGGCCTAATTTTGTGTATAGTGAGGGGATAAAGGGTGTTCAGGGAGGGCGACAGCAAGCTGTTGTAGACAGAAATGCCTAAGTCAGGGCAGGACAGGGGTAAGGAATATGACTTCTGGGTAACCATGGTCTTAGTTCTGTGGACTACAGAACTCCACCCTATGCTATGGAGATGAGGAGAGTGGGAGATGTTCTGTACTCTTAAAGCACTTCATGTCCTAGGTGGACAATGCTGCTCCTCCATAGATAAAGCACAGTGATAGAGCATTGTCTCCTTAGAACTGGTTTGTTACAAGGAAAAAATAGATATTTGAAAAAAAAATAGGATTTGAGAGCATCTTGCTAAGCTCCTACAATAGATACTAAAATGTGGTAAAGTGATGCGGGAATAATTTGTAGCAGCTAGAATGCAAAGCATTACCTATAACAATAATCAAATGCTATATCTCCCACCATCATTTTTATTCAAAATATGCTTTTTTATTATTATGCACTTAAAATATTCTAAATCAGCTCCCAGGAAGAAGCTGGCATGTGATAGAATGTCTCAGTGGAGCCAAGACATTTTAGGTTTAGGAGGTGCCAGTTGAGGCACATTTGACATTATACCAGGCTAACTCCTGAGAGGTTCATCTGGGAATTATACCCAAGTGGCAGAAGCCAGGGAGCAGCCCCAGAACACACTGGCAGGATTACATATCTCAGATGCCTCATAGAAATCTTAGAATCCCTCAGGAATACCTGTTGTAGGTGATAGACTACGGGAAGCCTGGAGAAATCTTCATTGCTGATTGCCATTTAATAAGAACTCCAATCCAACTGAAACTTAGTAGATTGTTATAAAATTAAATATAATCCTCTCCACCACATCATGTTGGCAGCTCAGCTAACAATTTAATTAGTTTAGACCTACTCAACTGTGATTTGCTCATGAAAAAAAATACTGTGACCACACAGAATACTATAAATGCCTGCAGATGTGCTGCATTTTTTCACATACCCATCTGCACTGTTTTGAATTGTAACAGGTGTGGTCTGGATGTGTGTTGTGGTGCCATTCATTTTAAAAGGGCACCACAACATAATAATGCTGCATGTTGGAGTAACATGCACATTGTAGTGTGAATGAGTTTGAGAACAAAAATTCTACACCAAATTTAAACAAATAAAAATACATACCACTCCTGAACAGGGAAAGCTGGGCTAGCATTGGTACTTGAGAAGACTTGCCATCTGGTCCATGAAAAGTTCGCTTTTTTGTGTTTTCAGGCTGGAAACGAGATTTCCATAGTCCCTTGAAATACAGTGCATTGACTACAACTAACCTAGTCATGGAGCTGTCCAATAAATCAGATGATAACAGATTGTCGATCATCCCTAGAAGACATGAAATACACAAGATTATTGAAGGATTACCAGAGTGCTTAGAAGGTCACACTAGTTATACTTAAATTGGGTACATACGCTGTACCGTGGTGCAGCAGGTATTAAAAGAATCCAAAACAAACATCACCGCTCCAATTTCCCTAAAGGACTCCCTCTCCATGAGAGCCTCCAAGGTGCAGGTAATGGAGCTCAACCACTTTTGTTTGCATTGAGCATTTTAAGTCTTTGTTGTATCCCGGTTTCTTGGAACTTTATCCAATAACAGCAAAAATTTACCACACACCACGTATATCACCAAAGTTTTTATTGATCTATCTCCATTCTGGTTTATCTAATGTTCCCCACCATATAGCCACACACCCCAACACGCCTCAGGCTTAGAGATAGCAACCGCTAGGAGGGGGATCCTTATGTGCGCCTTTAGTGAAACAGCAAATTCTGTTGATCAAATCAACCCCTTCCAGGTAGAGTTTTAATTGAACTCCTATCTACTATACCGCTACTATATCAGCACTGATGCTCACAAATTAGTTGTCTCATGTATTATACAAAAACTGAAGCCAGAGGCATCATATATAATCGCTTCATATTCACACTAAGTATCCAGAGAATTAAATGCTTAAAAAAAAACACCCACAGGATATACACAGATCTCACCAGTACATCGTGATTACATTCTCATAATTCACATATTCCATTTCAACTCTCTAACATTTAATTGGCTGTTCCATAACGCGTAAAGAATCCCGCACCACCATCTACTACATTAAAACCAACCTTTAGTAAATGCACACACAGACAGTAGTATTAGTGTAACCCGGATATATTAATAAAGCCTTCATTCAGTGGTATTTCTGGTGTGTGGTGCCTTTTTGTAAATATTAAAAGGTCTCACATGCACTGCGTATATGTGGTACCAACAGGAACTGATTTACCACTAGGTAAAAGTAGATACATTTCAAGGTGTACTAGGAGTTCAATCATTTTTTTCTGTACAGAATGTATGCCTATTTGTTGTAAAGTAGCCACCACCCCAAGCTCAGTCCTGTAATGCACTATAATCTCAGGTTTAGTTTACTAATTTGTATTCAGATTGTAGTCCATCACAGGAGGGAGCTTGGAGTGGTAGCTACTGTACAACACTCACAGGGACCATGGGAAACAAAAGTGGCCACCCTCCAGAAGGAAGGAGAGTGTCAGCACCAATTCAGAGATTATTTGTGGATCTACAGCCGAGTGATACACAAATAAAAAGGTAAATTTTTATTAATAGGGTACTTGAATGCATTTTTAAGATTTTACTCCGGAGTTTAGTGTCACTTTAATGATTTAAAAAAAAATCTAAGTTATCGTCTTTTGCTTAGATGCATACATTCACATATATGAAGGCTGCAGCCTACAGTAGTCATCAGATCCTCCAACCAAAACCTTACCTCTAGCCAGGCCTGTGTAGCTAGCTCTGGTTGATATTTAGGGGGTCCACTCCCAATACAAAGGACTCTCTGCAGATGCCCCTATAGAAGTATAGGGGGATTGGCTGTACTGAAGAGGACAGCTGCCAGAAGATTTCAGTTGCAGACTAAAAAACTTCTGCAGGAAAGGCCATCTGATTATGGTATACATTTGGAACAGGGGCTGGAAGTTAAGGGGGGGGAGGGCTAGGTAAAAAGCGTAAATGGCACCATAATGCCATTAGTACCCCAAGGTACTGTAAAAATGCAGTATTGTTGTGTAAAAACAGACACAAGTTATTCATACCACTAGGAAATCTGCATTCCACACTGTGGAATGCACAAGTAAACTTTTGCTAGTGTCTATGGAAAATTAGAGCTAAACTAAAAAACAAAAACAGCACAAAGATTAAATTGTAGACATAGGCCCCCAAAATTATGAAATCCTAATAAGCAGAAAAAAAACCCTCTAGACAGTTTGCATTGTAGACAGAATGACAAGAAATTCCACATAACACATGGATTCCTTTATTTTTCTGTGCTCAGGGCCAAATTGAGCTGTCTCCTGTAAAAGACACTAGCAGAACATGTGAGATGCACTCACCCTTTGTTTCATTCTTTACCCACTGGTTGATTATAGCAGCAGCTGTGTTCCTGTCCTGGAAGTCAACATTTCTCACATGGCTCTGAAAAATCTCTTTATTCTTGCTAACAAAGACGTCCTCCATCTTGAATCCACTGTTGGCAAACACAGCATTGGCCGTGGTGACAATGTCCTTATTCTTCTTTGCAACTATCGCCTTGTTAATTCGCTTTAGTATTTTACCAACCACTGCACAGAACAAAAACACATACATATTTATAAACACAAGATTGAGCATTGGCAAAAAAAATCAATATTTATTTTGGGTGACATTTATGAACAATGGTTTCTATCACCTGTCTAAATCCTGACTTACATTTTATTGTTGTGTTAATACAGCTGTGCAAATATGTAACTGAAAAATCTCTCATTTCTGTTCTAAGGTATATCATTTTAAAATACATTTCTTTTGAGATACCATTTATGTCTTGCAGCTTTATTTTATTTAAAGAATAACATTTGCTTCGGTGATATGGCAAACTTGGATTTTAGTGCGAAATATATTTGGTATACAGTTTGAACTATATTTTAACACGTTATAGAATTAGTCGTTAGTGTTTCTCCCGGCAATAATTTTTAACTTGCTGCCTTTCCTACTACTTTAAAGCCCAACTCCAGTCAAAAGTGTTTATTTCGGCTTTGGTAGATTAAGGACTGGCTGGAAAACCCCTTCCAGACAATAATAGTCCATTATTAGCCTTGATGAAGGGTATGTAGATCCCAGAAACAGGCTTGATGTCCTCCAACTTTCCCCCAAAAAATCCACTTGTTAGGGGTGGTATAGAACATTGGCCATAGGTACTGCCCCTCCTAAATGAGTGGGAAGCTTTTTTGTTACCTCATACAGTTACAGATTAAGTGAGCAGCGTACTATTTCTACTTGATATAGCTTCTTTCTCCCAGAAAATCTCTCCAAGCTGGGATATAGATGAAACTAAAAAACACACAATTGTATTAGAGTGAGAAAGGATTAGAACTTTGACAGTGTTTTTACCGCTTTCTGTTCCTTACTGTCCCAGTTAGGATCATACCCCCATTTCTTGAACTGGTATCACATGAAGTACTGTTCTTTAGGTTTTTTTTTGCCATTTCATGGGTGCATACAATTTCGGGTTTTAAAATGTTTGGTATCTATTTACCTGAAACAGACCCCATCTTTTATATTTTACCACAAATTGGGTATTACATTCCGTTTGCATGTGCTAAAATTATATAAAAATGTTAGTGCATTTTTTCCCAAAAATATTGATTCATTAAACATTTTTTGCAAATATTGTGTGACTTAAAAATTGCAACAAGCTTTTTTTTTCTACAAGGCCTCTGCTTCCACAAAATATACAATTGTTTGGGGGAATTTAAGCAGTTTTCTAGCCAGAAATTCAGATTTTAACATAACGTGTGTGCAAAAATTAAAAATTGCTCTGGATAATAAATTGTTACTGTATAGCAGTTTGTGGTTATAGCAATTAAAACCTGACAGGGGTTCTAACCTATTCACACAATATCTAAAGCTAAATATTTTTGGTTGACTTCTACTTTGATAGTTCAATCTATAAAAGTGAAGTTTGAAGTCCTACTGGCTCTATGGAAAATAATTTAAAATGTATTGCTAAAAATGTATAACATTGGCGCAAACCACAACACCTCTTAGGCTAGGCCTTTTGGCTAAGACCAGGGGTCATTTTTAATTACTGGGCCGCAAGGCCTAGCCATTGTATACACATTGGCACAAAATTATTTTTTCTCACTGTTCGTGCACTTTTCACTTTATGTGTTTTCACTCCACAGGACGGAGGGTGTGGGTCTTCGGGCCTACCCTGAAGTCTGGGTGTGTGGCCCTCAGATTCCTTCCTCCCCTGAATCAGGGTCTTCCTTTGGGGGAGCCCTCAACGTAGTACTTGGTGGTCGGCTTCGGCTGACCACGAGGAATGGGTCCGTCTGGTTTCGGCCAGGTGGACACGAGTGCCTTGATCCTGTCAGGAGCCTTGCGCCCTGGGGGTTCAGGGATGGGCCCTGTCTCTTGGGAGACTGACCCTATAGACAGCACCCTTGCTGTGCACTTTTTTGTGTGTGTTCACATGCACTTTATTGGTCCACTTTATTGGGTGTTTCGTAAGCACGCTCCCCGGGCTTTAAAAACATTTTTTACAAATTGGTGCAAACAGTAGATTATGGAAACATTACATTTTTTTCAACAAAAGGTGTAGACAATATCATCATAGGTTTATATCAGGGTACATGTATAAACTGCCATTTGTATCAGAAAGGGTTAGGTATGCTAGTGTCTATGCTTGGCTCATATTCGTGTCATCACTGGACAGGCAAGACACATCAGTTAAAGTGGAACTATATAACAATTGACAGGGGATAGGAGTGTTTAAAGGCCAGCTCCAGACAAAATTATTCTTTCTTTTTAAGACTAAACAGAGGAGGGAGAGTGTCTGAAATATGAAGGTGTGCTGTGCAGCCCTGGGCTATTATATTGCAGTGACACAGACATGCTTGAAATGCCATACTACAACCCACGTATCCATAGGTGTCCATCTGGTGTCCATCAGGAGTCTGATCTACAAAATTAAACAATTTTCATATGCAAGACCATGATTGCCACAAATAATACAAAAGTGTTGTAACCAAACAATTCAGAATATAAATAAAGAGGGAAACAAAAATAAAACCGACCATTCACTTTATAGCGCATTGCTGTCGTCAGCTGCTTTTTCGTCTTCCCATCCGCCCCCAGCTGAAGCATGCCCAATACAGAAGCAATTCCATGAGGGGACATGACCACATTGTCATGAGGTTTAGTCTTCACCACCTGATTGAACACCTGAATTCCAATGTCCGATCCAAGTTCCTCAAGGGATACTGGACTAATTTGTGACTGCGCTGAGGTCAAATATACCACCGCAAATAAAGCCAAGAGGAACCTCGTCATGGTCTTTTAACTCGAACAAAAACACCTGCAAGAGAAAAAGGAATACACAGTTACAACATAATTCTTACACGCCTACAGTAACTTTATACATGTTACCCATCATGAATGGAAAAAAAAATACAATAGCTTCTAAAAATAAACGAGAGACCAATAGTAGATTAGAGGTCAACCATAATAAACTTCCTACAAGGACATCATCTTCATAGAGTCTCTATGAGCTACCTGTTTTTTCCCAGATTTTGTTTTACAAGCTATAAACAAACCAAACCATTCAAATACCTGGTTTCACGCCAAATTAGGCTTGAGTGTGGGTGGTTGTTTGATTATCGTACAGATATTAGACATACTGTATGTTCCTTAGGCAGGATTGCAATGTACTGTAGGCAATGTCTATTTCAACAGCATTGAAGAAAAAAACAAAATCATCATCTCAGTAAATTCAACTCCCCAAAAACTGCTATAGACCTTTTAATATTGCTATAGTGTAAACCATTTGTTTCTTACTTAAAAAGAGCCAATACTGGAGAGAAATCAAATGCTTGTTGTTTTCTAAAGATGAATCAGAAGCTCTAAATAATGACGTTTGCCAAACACTGAGTGTAGTAATTCAGATACACTGCATCGGGAATTATGCCAATACAGGAAATAGAGGGAGAGAAGCCTAGAGGGTTTCTAAAATCAGCTGAGAGTGAAAGGAGAGCCAAAATCCAGGAAGTTAGTTGGATGTTGTAATCATAATTGCTTACAGCCAGGACACAAGAGAGGCGTAGAGTCTGCAGAGTATTTGGAACATAGTCATTGTAAAACACAGTTTAGGTCAATAAGAGATGGACATTTGTGAAATGTTCCTGAAGGTGAATCTCCAGCTTTTTTTTTTCCTAAGCTTCCATCAGGTCTACTACATATATTGCAATGATTTTAGACTATTTCAATGTGTTAAAGGTCATATTCCTGCCCGATTTTCTTGTAAAGAGATTCCAAACTTTGTCCTACCGACTTGAATAATTTCAGAGAGTTTATGCATAGAGTTTAGAGTACAGCTTGTCAACCATTGTAGCAAACCACCAACAGGTCTGTTCTCCTCACTGATGACTCATCTGCATAGCACAGTAAGTTTTGTTAATTTTAGCGCAATAAGTGCTTTTTAATGCTTCTATGTAGCTTGGCAGCAATTTTGAAAAAACACCTTAGATAAAAGTACATAAAATATACTAGGTGCAGTATATTAATTTTCTAATCTAAAAAAAAGTTTCAGAGAAATGGTGTCCAACTAAAGCTTTTCTTCAACACAAGCGTACTTTCTAAGATATGAAAGAGGGACACCTTTTAGTGCAAAGTATTTAGGAAAGGACACACACCTCCGCCACACCTCCAATTACATGGACCACGAAAGAACTAATATGTGAAATGATTGGCTAAACCTACAAGTTTTTTTTTTTTTACCATTACTACTTTACCTTCACACTGGCTTTTTAAACACGTTTTTACCAAGTGCAATCATTTTGATGTTGGATGAAAGGTCTAGTGTACAATTACATTTTTGTTAGTTAAATAGTACATCATTTTAAAGAGGCCTAAACGTCAGAGTGAAAAGAGGGACAACTGAGGAGCAAGAAGGGACAGAGGGACTTGCCTCCAAAAGAGGGACAGTCCCTCTAAATGAAGGGCAGTTAGGAGGTATGCATAAGCTCCTCCTAAAATCCAAAGTGTATGCATGAACAAAACTATCTGGGGCTCTATTAGAGTGATTTACTCTTACTGCCTATTAGGTGAAATGATTTTACCAGACAGGAAGTGAGGGGAACTCTCACACAGCAACACAGACAGAAATTAACAAATGTTTTTCTTTAGCGGAAGTTGAGAATCCATGTACATACAGCTTAAGGAGAGCAAACAAATGTCCAAGAGTCCAAAGTTTTTAATGGTAAAATTGGTTTACAGAAGGAAAAACAGCCAATGAATTTGGGGCCACAGAAACTCTTTCTCCCGGGGCCTAGGAATCTGGACTGTGCTTAACAAAGTCCTATCACAATTAAAACACAGCCACAATTCCTGAGCCCTGAGGAAGGGGGAGTTTGTGTGGTCCCTGAAATGCATACCGGTTATCTGCTTTGAACAAATTTGTACCCCAAGATGTTTGTTTGGCACCCTCATTAGGCTGTATGCAAGGGTTAAAGTTCCCGGTCAGGTTTTTATTGCCGTCTGTGTCCCTATTTAGATGATTAATCCTTAGATTTTGCGCAGTGGTGTGGATACAACATTATACAGCTATCACAGAACAGGAGTAAATGGACTATAAATTGGGACAAAACAGAAAGTGCACAGAAATCTTCCCAATGAGGCACAAACAATAAATTATTAACAGAGGGTCTAACCCTCCCTTACTTGCAAAAGTTTTTGCAAGTGTTATACTTTCACTTCATAAAGGAGAACTATGTGGTAAGGAGAGGGATCTTATGTGCGCCCTTAGTGAAGCAGCAAATTCTGTTGATCAAATTAAAAGGAGAACTATGGGATACTATGAACTAGGAGGAGAACTATGGGGTAAGCGTTTTCCCCCATAGTTTTCCTCCATAGTTCTCCTAAGGGTCACAGGGGACATAAACTAGCGTCCTCCTGTGACCCAAAGCTCAGTATATCGCAAGCTACAGCTCGTGGCATACTGAGACCGCCGCAGCATTACAGTCGAGATCCACCCATCTGCGTGAGTGACAACTAGCGCTGCCCATCTAGAGCGCTGACTGGCGGAACAGACGGGAGAGGGGGGAAATCCCTGCAGGGAGCCGTGAGTGACAGCCATGGCTCTCTGCAGGGACATGATCGAGAAGAGAGCGAGCGAGCGAAGGGTATGCGTTTGCTCACTTCCCGAATCTATTGAGCCGATGTGCGAGTTTCATTGTCGCACGTCGGCTCGAACTATGAGGATGAGTGAAAATCACTCACCTCATAGTTCTCCTTTAAAGGGTTAGTAAACCCTCCGGTTTTTTTTTTGCATATATCTACTGCTAGAAAGCAGTAGATATATGCAAAAAGTTTAGTTTTTTTTTAAAAACAGCGGTTTAAACTTACCCCATCTTTGCTGCGCGCTCCAGTCCGAGAATCCGAAACTGCTCGGACAGCCGCAAAGCATCTTGGGATGGGCGCATGCCCAGTTCAGATTTTGTCCGGGAGACAAGGAGAGACACAAGGTAAGTCTATGGAAGCGTACACTGGCATTCAGACACCGTGGGATCGGAAGTGCCAGCAAGGACAGAAGAGTCAGTGCTGGATCGGAGACCCGACGCAGCGCTCGAGAGAAGGCTGAAAAGGACAGGAAAGAAGAGGAAGATCGGATTAAGAAGCATTATTTAAGTTAAGTGCTTTAATGAACATTAGTGGAAGGAAAAGAAAATTTGACTTTAATGTCACTTTACCTTCTGACATAATAGCAGAGATTATAGATGAGGCTTCTGTGTGTAAATAAAAGGGACACTAAACTCAGGAGTTAAATCTTAAAGGAGAACTATGAGGTGAGTGCTTTTCACTCACCCTATAGTTCTAGCCGACCTGCGACAATGAGACTGTCACAGGTCGGCTCAGTAGATCGGGAGGTGAGGGAACATATACCGGCGTTCGCTCACCTCTCGATCCTGTCACGGCTCTCTGCCGTGACAGGGGAGGGGCTGGATTCCCCCCTTCCCGCTCCGATAGCGCTGACTGGCGGAACGGAAGGGGGAGCGGGCGGGTACAGCTGGCTCTGCCTCTAGATAGGCAGAGCCAGCTGTCACTCGCGCAGCTGGGCGGATCTCGACATCGATGTCGGGATCCGCTCCGGCGTCTCAGTATACCGCGAGCTGTAGCTTGCGGTATACTGAGCTTAGGGTGACGGGAGGATGCTAGTTTGTGTCCTCCCGTTACCCTAAGGAGAACTATGGGGAAAAGCACTGACCCCATAGTTCTCCTTTAAAAATGTATTCAGGTACCTTAACTATTAACAGAAATGTATCTTATTTGTGTATCACTCGGCTGTAGACCCACAAATCATCTCTGAATTGTAGCTGACACTGTACTTCCTTCTGGAGGGTGATGACTACTTTTGTTCCCCATGGTCCCTCTGTATGTTATAAAGTAGTCACCACTCCAACCTCGCTCCTGTGATATACTAGAACGTCATTAGCGGTGATGACTTGTCTTTGTGTGGACTTGTGTGGACCAGTTTCAACATTTTGATCAAAAGCACTGCCTATGGAGGACACATTGGGGTTGATTTACAAAAAGCAAACGGGCTGTTCACTTTACAAGTGAATTTTCCCTTAGCTTAGTGAATGAGGTGAAGACTTCTATCATCCAATCATGCACAAAAGAACTTTTTTTTTTTATTGCATTCCTTGCTTGTGATTGTGTAATTTTGACTCATTGGGGAATAACCAATTATTGTTTTTTATCTGTTCTTTTTCATGAAGGCAACGGAATGAGTAGAAAACACCCAAAGGTGGAGGGAGACGCCAAAAACTGCAAGGTGGCACTGGAACCGAGTCAGAAACTACAGTATGGAGATGGTGCCACAGAAGCCCCAAGAGGCATAAGACAGAGTCAACCAATAACCTAACAAAATGTAACTCATTTCTGGGTGGACTGATTTTTAGAAAATCACAAGGAGAGACACAGCTAGCCAGTGTACTACTATCCAATTGTTCACAGGAACAATCTTCATAATGAACACATTTAGCCCTGTGTTAAAAGGAGAAGTATTGGGAGAGTAAAATTTACTCTTCCCAATACTTAGTGCAGGCGTGGGACCCTGCAGGTTTCACATGCCGGCTCTATAGATCAAGAGCTGGACAATCACGAACTGCTGCTCGCTCAGCTTACAGTCTTCTCCCTGCAGAGAGCGCTGACCGTCAGTCACCACTTCCCACAGGAATTACCCTCTATTCCTCCAGCACTCATTGGAGGGACAGACAGGGGAGGGAGCGTTATAGCTGGCTCTGGCTCTAGAGGGGCGTACATTAGTAAATGTCCCCCTGTGCCCCAAAAGAGGACTAA